TCCCGAAATGAAGGTGGGCGATAAGAATTACAAATAATGAAGATACGTTCGTTAATGGCGACGCTTACTATGAGAGATTCTGTATCAGTATCCGCCGCGATGATAGAGTGTTGCAGTAAATCAGAAACATAGACTAGACTACCACTCCCATGGCGATTACGATCTCGCCTATAAAGGGAGTAGCCACCAATATGACATTCTTGATCGGAAATATCAGAAGATAGATTAGTTTCCTGAAGAGTTATATGTCGGATCTATATTTTTCTCTTTCTGTTGTCGTTATAGTCTTTTGTCATCTACTGTATACTAGAGCCTTAGCATACAGCACAATTTAATGAGGTGCATATGTCGACATTCATATGCATTTCTTATGATAGAACGAAAAAACAGAAACATTTCTCTTATTTGCGTGGGGATGAATTATCAACCTGTCTATAAAACCAAACGGCACAAAAATGAAGACAATGTGCTTCATCTTTATCTTTATCTTCACGTTTACCTTCAGCATGTTTATCTTTATCTTTATCTTCATCATCTTCATCTTTATCTGTATCTTCATCGTCTTTACCTTCATCATCTTTAGTTTCATCATCTTCATCTGTCTCATCTCGTGCTCACTGTCTATTCATTTCAACCGGTAATGTTCTTTTCTTTCTGATCCTCAAAACACCGCCACGCCTATGAAGGTATTACAATATAACATGACGGTATGTTACATTTGTATTGCTGTGTGCGAATTAAAAAGATATGCTATACTCTCTAAAAAAAATAGGCATTTTAAAAAACCTAAAAAGGGTTCGGGAAACTGCAAATATACGGAACCCTTTTTAAGGTTTAGTAAGGGGTTTTTCACCTCTGCTAAACCCTTTTTAAGTTCCGTATATTTGCAGTTTCCCGAAACCTTTAAAAGGTTTAGTAAGGGGTTTTTCACCTTTACTAAACTCTTTAAATTTCAGTTGCAAATGAAATATCTATGTTTTAGAGAATAGTTCCTTCTATTTGAAATGATATTATGTTTGCTTATAATTTGGGTATTTAACGATTCTGTTCTTATATAGAGAAAGGAAACGAATTGGATTTTCAGCTCTTTGTAACACTTAGCTTTCTGAAGACAGTCGTCAGTTCAAGAAGAAATGGAAGGTTACAATAGATCAAACATTCATTTTTAAACTGCGCTCTTTGCTTACTCCAGCTGAAGGCTGTATGGGTATAATAATGGGAGAAAAATTGAGCTAATGGAGCTTTCTCTGAAACAACAATACTCACTTCTTTATGTGCCGTAAAGTGAGAAGCAGGATAAGATTTTGCTGCATCGGTTGTAAGATAGCTTTCACAAAATGATTTCTATCTCTTATGGCTTTTGAGTCTGGCAAGTTACAAAGAAAAGCAGATAGGCCAATAAAGAGTTAAAGTGTAGAACCGAAAAAGAGAACTATTCAAGTTCGTACTAAAGTGATATTCTGAATGACTGTTATGAACAGTCATGAACCATGATTGAGGTATTTCACCAGTTTATGCGCTCTCGAAAAAAATGGGTTGTTTTCAAAATCCGAACGGTTTTTTATTCTTGCTTCTAAACCCCAAAGAGTATAGTATCGTTATTGAACCGTGTTGGTTTTTTAAAATACTTTTCGGAAAGCTATTTTAAGAAAATATAGGGTTTTTTATTAATGTCACGAAACCCTAAAGGTATTCTATTTACGGTACATTAGGTACATTATTTAGTTCTTGACCAAAATGGTTTAGGAGTTGAATTGAAAAACCTTTGGGATTTAGCAGCAATAATGAAAAACCCTTTTGGTTTTTTAAAATAGTAAAATGGTTTATATGTCAACGCTTTAGGTTTAGTAACGAAAATAGAATACCTTTAGGGTTTTGTGACATTGATAAAAAACCCTGTATTTTCTTAAAACACTTTTCCAGAAAGTATTTTAAAAAACCCAACCGGTTTAGTAACGATACAAAACCCTCAAATAGTTTCCCAAATGTGCTACTATACCGTTTTGGGTTTAGAAACAAGAATAAAATACCGTTTGGGTTTTTTAAACTGCCTATTTTTTTTAGAGAGTACGCTAAAGCGCTATTACATATAATAAGAGCGAAATTCATTGCTTTTCTTTATTCTATACTTTTGGTTTAGTCATTTAAGAAAGAGAAATAAGAATAATCATTCTACATAGATGTGGCATATGCCATTATATCAGAGGAAAATAACGTATCAAATGTCACTTTCTCACTGGTCATCGACTGGAACGGGTCTAATCGAACGAAACTTATAAGTAGAACCTAACATACTTATAAAAGG